TATTTCAAGTATCGTTATTTGATATGCTTGAACCTTTTAAAAGTGCACTTTGAGTATATTTTATTATCTTTTTACTATGACGCACTTTTTTCTTTATCTTGAGTATTTATCGGTTCAAGTAAAGAACACTTCTACTTAACATTTGCGAAAGAGCATTTTCTACTTCAGTGTCCCTTTTGAAATAATTAAAAACGTCATTACATACAGGGTGTCCCAAAAGTCCCCAACAAAAGTTTTTGTAAATATCTCTTATACAATTTCAGCGATTTAATCGGTTTTTTTATAACATGATATCATATTCTTTTAAGTTTTATTTTAATAACAAAACCATTAACAGGTACTATTTTGAATTGTCACTTTTGACTTCAATATCCAAGTGTACCCACTTTCCATTTCTAAACTAACATTTTCGAAGGAAATTTCCCGAGATACTTATTCCGACCTGAAACGTTGACCAAATTGAGGGCTCACTCAGACTAGCTTCTGTATAAAATTTCAGAAGTTTTCGATGTAGTTTTTCTGAGATATGAATTTTTCAAAATTTAGGCGTTTGTCCATGTAACTTTTGCAAAATTTGAAAAATGCATATCTCAAAAATACTAGATCCAAAAGTTCTAAAATTTTGCACAGAAGCTAGTCTGAGTGAGACTTCGCTTTGGGCAAAGTTTCAGGTCAAAATTCGAAACTATAATTGTCTTTTGAAAATGGGGGTCATCACGGACATAACCCACTAAAAATTTCATATCTCAGCCAAAACTGCATAAAAGTAAGAATCTTTTGGAGGTCGTTGTAGTACAGTGGTCGTGTAGCAAAAGGAAAAATATGACCTCAAAAGTGTCTAATCATCATATGGGCTCAAAAGCTTTTCATCATCTCGAGTACTCGTATTTTTGAAAAATCGAAAATGGATACATTTGGATATTGAAGTCAAAAGTGACAGTTCAAAATAGTACCTGTTAACGGTTTTGTTATTAAAATAAAACTTAAAAGAATATGCCATCCTGTTATTAAAAAAACGATTAAATTGCTTGAATTGTATAAGAGATATTTACGAAAACTTTTCTTGGGGACTTTTGGAACACCCTGTAGAGAATGGCTACTAGTCAAGAACTCAACATCGAGATCTTAACCCCTCGTATCGGTGCTATGATCCATAACTTGGATTTATCACAACCATTGACTAAGGATCAAAAACATGCGTTAGAAGAAGCACTCTACAAATATCATGTACTCTTCTTTCGTAATCAAAATTTAACATCTAAACAACAAAGTGATGTTGCCCGTCTATTTGGTGATCCACATGTACACCCAGTTTTTTCGCATACGGCAGAGTGTCCGGAAGTAAGTGTCTTGGAATTTGGTGTAGATGTCGATCCGGATAAAAAACCAGATTCTGATATCTGGCATACTGATGTTACATGGTCAAAGAATCCACCAATTATTGGTATGCTCTATGCAAAAATTATACCAAAACAAGGTGGTGGTGATACACTATGGGCAAATACGGTTGAAATTTATAAACAAGAATTATCAAATGAAATGAAACAATTTCTCGGTAAATTAACAGCTGAACATTCATTTGCATACGCATTTCAACCTTTGATTAAACCTAATTCTGCCGCTATGGCACAATTTATGAAAACTAAAGAAGCGAATCCACCAGTCACTCATCCGGTTATTCGTGAACATCCACATACCAAAGAAAAATGCCTATATGTTAATAGGACTTATACCACGAAGATCAATGAATTAAATGAACACGAAAGTAATTTACTATTACAATATTTATTTTCGTTAATTAATAAAAGACCAGAATTCACATGTCGATGGAAATGGAATGAAAATGATGTTTGCTTATGGGATGAACGGACAACACAACATTATGCAACAGCTGATTATTGGCCACAACATCGAAGAATGCATCGATGTGTAATAATGGAAAGGAAAGATAAAAGCTAGATTCTCCAAAAATAAAAGTTGTAAATGCAAGTGACAAGGTGATTTGAATTGTTTTTTTGTTTAATTATACGCAATTAATGGAATAGTTAAGAACGGAATGAAGTATTAAATTAATATTGAAAACTTTTGAATTGATTAGTCGATATTTAACTATTATTCTTGTAACTTGTACTTGTTTTTGAATAATGATGTGTGCCTTTTAAATAAACATAAGATAATCCACAAGAAAACAGAAAAAAAATGAACCAACTGTCATTGTTTCTTTTTCCTGAAAGATAGGATTACGTCGCGGAGAATATCAAATTACATGGATCAAAAAAGCGAATCAACCATGCAAAACAAACGACTCAGGCTGACTTCATAAATCGAGAAGAGATAGTCAACTACTTATTTATACCAGTAAACCATTACCATTCATTCAACTTCCATTTTACGATAAACAAAAACGATGATTAGAATTGAACAGTATGAGAACACTCTTTGACTTTGTTGAAAGAGAAGTTTGTACTCAAATCTAATTGATCGTTCGATAAAATCGTCATTTGAATGAGTCAGATCTCCTCAGTAAAATTTGAAAAGAAATCTCAGTCGAATGTGTAAAATGAGCTCAATCTTCGAGAATGTGGGTTAGTTGCTATTCATTCAGCACACACACCCACCCAATTACGAGTCAAATTATCATAACGTTTGACATTGTGGCTTGAGTACAAGTTTTATTATGCAAACAACTTGTGATTGTCGACTGAACACGCGATGGAATCTTAACAGCTTATTGACATATTAATAAACTGTGATTCAGCATTGGTAGCTTCAATGAATGATGATAAGTGATTGTTCGTAGTACAAATTATGTTTTCGAAGCGATGTTCTGTGATTATTTGTGGCACTTCAGTCACTTTCTTCTTTGAAACGTGAAAACTATTTGTGAAATTATTTCTATAGATCGACAACAATTGGTACTTGTGTTGCACGAAATTCATGATCACAAATCAATGCATTAACAAACAATATCTCTTTCAGTTGTTGTCCATGTTTTCCGTGAAAGTGACCAAATACATGAAGTGTTAGTTTGATTCTTATCAAGATACAGTTGAATAACTCTCTACATTCTTGATGAAATGTATTTGTTAATTTGTCGAGAATTGAATGCGGTGAACCATGGGTAAGGCCTATTTCAGTATCTGCAGGGAAAAGTAATTGCACAACCAACCATAATAGAACACGCCAATGGCTGGTTCACTTGTTGTGGACACTCACAGCACATTCCAGATTGATTCTTTGTCATATTCAATGACAATCTCGTCGCCAACAACTGAGTTTTTGAATCGGTGAACTGGAATCTTTCGAACAATATGTTCCTCATAAACTAAATGACTTTCATCGATTTATTCATGAGAAAAGAGAAACAACAGATGGTTCAGAATGGTTGTCATCTTCAGTATTTCATCACTCAAACTTACACTTTTTCCAAAATATTCGTCGTACAATTCTCTAGAAAATTTTATAGGAGGTTTTTCTCTAAAAGATCATACTGAAAAATCTTATGGGGTAGATTGTGTAACACGAACAGTTTCTACTGTTTTGTCTATTCCTTAAAAAGTAAATGTACGCTATATAATACAAAATAACTTTATTCGATTTCGAAGGTGTGGGTGTGTCTATCGTTAGCACAAATTATACTTACAGACACAGCCACATCCCATCCTTTCAATCAGTAGTTTCAACTTTAAGCATCGTCGAAGGAACATCTTCTTTCTTCAGTTCGTTATCCAAATTGA